ATTATATATGTCCCGCTTTTCCCCCCTCCAGCCCACCCCCTTTTCCCCTAGCACCCCGCTGTCTGTGTCCGTGGGCGATGCATATCTGCATGCAAGGTTTTTGGTTGATCACCTCCCCCCCTTCCCTCCGAGATCCCGCACTCTGTTCCAGCTTCCATGTCTGAATCCTCTCCGTTCCTCAGTTTACGTTGCTCATTAGATTCCACATGTGAGTGAGACCATGTGATGCGTGTCTTTCTCCGACTGGCTGATTGTGCTTAGCATGATGCTCTCCAGGCCCCTCCGTGCCTCTTTTGGCTGCTGTGTAGCATTCCACAGGATAAAAGTACCACAGCTTTTACCCGCTCCTCTGCTGATGGCACCTGGGCTGTTTCCAGATCTTCGCTGTTGTAAGTTGTGCCGCTGTGAACACAGGGGTGCACATATTCGTTCTGGCTGGTGTTTTGGGGTTTCTTAGGATGTAGTCCTAGAAGTGGGTCACTGGGTCAAATGGTGGGTCAAGTTCACATTTAACGTTTTGAGGAAACTCCGTCCTGTTCTCCATAACGGCCGCACTGGGCTGCACTCGCACTTTTCTCTGCCTGGTGACGGGAGCCCTTCTATGGGTGTGAGGTGATACCTCTCTGTCGCCTTAGTTTGCATTTCCCTGATGACCAGTGGCTTCGAGCATTTTTCCACATGTATGTCCTCCTTAGAGAAGTGTCTGTTTCCGTCCTTTGCCCATTTTTAAATTGGGTTGTCTGTCTTCCTTTTGTTAAGTGGTTTGCGTTCTCTATACATTTGGGGATTAACCCTTTGTCCGATGGGAAGGGTGAGCCTCGAGGCCACAGACCCTGAGCCCAGACCTCCCAGGAAGCCACACTGGTCCCCACCGCAGGCTGCCAGGAGCCACCGTTTGCGGGGCGCGGGGAGCGGGCGCGGGGAGTTACACCCCGGGCGGAGCCTGTGAGCTCTCCTCCCTCAGCCTGGGCCGGAGAGGGAGGCTGAGGGGAAGCCCGCACCCCAGGAGCTCCTTCCTGCAGGAGGACGCCTGTGGGACGATCCCCCGGCCGCGGGCGGGCGGGCGGGCGCACACCGGGCTCCGCACACGGGCCCAGCCTTCCGCCAGGACAGTCTACCTGGATCCACTCGCCGCTGGGGGTTAAATTTACAACTGAAATGTCTCCCTCCTCCCAGTGTCTTACTTTGGGGTCACGCTTCCAGGCGGCACGTCGGTGAGCTTTTCCTCAGGCTTCGGCGAGATCTGGTAAATGGGACATGGAGTGGCCTTTCCCGGCCGGCTGGCCAGGCCTCGGAGGATTCTCCTGGCTCCTGAGACGGAGAACTCGGGAGGGACGTGGGTGTTCGGGAACTTTCCCCCAGAGCGGGGAGGGGACTGAGGAACCTCTTCTCTGTAATGGGCACGGCACTGGTGGCAGGCGGGAGAGTGCTCACAGCCGAGACCGCACTCCGCAGGTCTGCCCTCTCCTGCGGTGCCGGCCGAGGCGGGAGGGTCTGTCAGTCACACCTGGGGCAGGGCCTTGTTATCGACACTCGTTCTCAAACGTCAGATTGCTGGGCGTTTCCGTTTCTAACTTTACACCTGCTCCTCCTTTCTCTCCCCCTGAATCTGGGTTCGTAGTAATGTTAGCACAACTGCCTCTTTGCTCACCTGACGTGCATTTAGCAGTTTAAAAGCAACCATGTTGCCCTGACCGCTTTGGCTCAGTGGATGGAGCGTCGGCCTGCGGACTGGAGGGTCCCGGGTTTGATTCCGGTCAAGGGCATGTCCAGTAGGGGGTGTGCAGGAGGCAGCTGATGGATGTTCCTCTCTCATCGATGTTTCTGACTTCCTCTCCCTCTCCCTTCCTCTCTGTGAAAAATCAATACAATATATTAAAAAATAAAAATAAAAACCATGTTAACAAGGTTACCCCAACATGGCAGCTGGACAGGACTCACGCCTGGGTTCTCCCGTCTCGTCTGCTGGTGTGTCTGTCCTTCTGCCGACGCCACCCTGCTTCCATCCGTGTCGGTTGCAGTGACATTTGAAATCAAGAAATGGGAGGCCTCAGGTTTTATTTCCGTATTGTTTTGGCTATTTGGGGTCCCCTGAGATTCCATATACATTTCCGAGTGGATTTTTCTGTGGCTGCACATCCTGACAGGGGCTGCGCCGGGTCTGCAGGTCACGTGGCGGGCGGACACCATAACCGTGTTCCGGCCCCCAGTTCCCTCCTCTCGTTTCCGTGGGGACGTCCCGTGTGCCCGCCTCCTTGGCTCCTTCCTCCGCTTGTACTCCCGCCGACGCTGCTGTGAATGGACGGTCTCCTCGACTCCCTTTTCCGGTGGTTCGCTGTGGGCGCACACATCGCCTCTCAGCTGGGCTTAACCGCTGCTTTAGTTTTCCATATTAGTAGCTACAGCTTGTTCTTCTCTATGTTTTCAATTAGTTCTTTGATTTTTAAAATCACTTTGGTCATCCTTGTTTGTAGCCTTTCTAGTTCTTTCATTTCCAATCTTTCTCTTCGTCTCTACTGAGTCTCTCACGGAAAGTTGTTTTTTATTGTTTTTTAAAAATGTGCAGTTTTGGCCAACACCGGTTTGGCTCAGTGGGTGGAGCGTCGGCTGAGGATCGAAGGGTCCCAGGTTCGAGTCCGGTCAAGGGCATGTACCCTGGTTGCGGGCACATCCCCAGTGGGGGGGGGTGCAGGAGGCAGCTGTTTCTAGCTCTCTGTCCCTCTCCCTTCCTCTCTGTAAGAAAATCAATAAACTATATATATTTTTTTAAAGTATTTTTTCCCACAGGCCACTGAGTGTGAGGATTGTGTGTGCGCTGTCGGGGGTTCTCTCGCAGGGGGTGCTGGGCTTGCCAGCCCCGGGTGTTCACGTTGATGTGGGCCTGTGGCTGCGGGTTTCCAGGGAGAGCTTCCCATCCGGGCTGGCGAGCGATGGCGTCTCGTTTGCCCCACTTGGTGGCCACCTCCCCACTCCTGCTTTTCGTGGCCGCAGACACACACACACACACACACACACACCCCGCAGCTCCCGGGGGCCAGCGCCCTGCCCACTCCGGCCCCCAGGGGTCCCAGCCACTCCTGGACTTTTCTGTTTCCGTAAAAATAAAACATGAATCAATGGGACATTGACAGGGACTGCACTGGGTCTGCAGATTGCTTTGGATGGTGTTTATGCTTTAACAATATTAAATTATTTATCCTTTAACAACTGTTTCAGTGATGTCTCTCCTGGCGTTCTGCAGGCTCAGGCGGGCTGCTCGGACCCTCAGGAATCCTCCGTCCCTGCTCCACCCGGCCCCTCTCTGTGGGCGGCCGGCTCCGCCCTCCGCCGCTCTGCAGAGGGGAGGGCACCGGCCGCCTGCCCCAGGCCGGCCGAGGGGCCGTGTCGGGAACTGGAAGGAGAGTAAACTGACCTGCCCGCGCCCCGTCGCCGAGGTTGGGCCGACCTTGACTCGGAGCCCAGATAAGGACGGACAGCGCCAGGTCAGGTGGAACATTAGCCACAGGCCCGCGCCCTTGTCCTGAGGACGCCCCACAGGAAGGCCGGGCGCCCCGGCAGCAAACAGCCCAGCCCTCCCCACGCCCCCCCCCCACACACACACCTGCAAGGACGCAGTAAAACTCAGCAAGCAGACCGCCCGCCCTGCCCTGCCCACCAGCCCCCGCCACCTCCCAGCAGCAGCCGGGGCGTCCTGCCCTGACCACCCCCCCCTGGCGTGGCCGGCAGGTGGGGAGTGAAGTCACAGGGGTTCAGGGACAGAGGGGCCTGGCTCTCCTTCGGCCAAGGTGCAGGGGGAGCAGGTGCAGGCACTGAACCCAGCCCCCACCCTCACCCCCAGCAGGGGCAGGTGGGGAGAGGGGGACGGGGGAGGAGGGGAGACACAGGGCCGGAGGAAGGGCTGGGCGCGGTGGGAGGGTGACCCATCCTCCTGGAGGCGCTGCCCCCGCCCGCTAGCAGCTCCCGGCCAGCAGGGGGCGCCCGGCCTCCACCGCCGCCCGATGGGGCGCCGTCCCCCCCCCCCACCCCCGCCGCTGCAGGTGGGTGACCCTCCGCCCGGATTGGGGGGGAGGAAGGGGGGGGAGTACGGGGTCGGGGCCGGGACTGGCCCGCAGCACAGCGCCCAGGCCAGGCGGCCGGAGGGGGGGCGGCGGGGTGACCAGCCGTCCCGGGGGCGGAGCCCGCCTCCAGGGTACGATTATCAAGGACGCCCGGTGCTGCCCGATCCCAGCGCGGGCTCAGCCGGGCACCAGGCACAGGGGCCCCAACACCTGCTGGGCTGGGGGGTCCCAGAGGAGCCTCCCCCTGCACCCCCACCTCAGACAGGCCTCTCAGCCCTACCACCCCCCCGCCCCCACCCCCCTTCACTCCCAAACCCACCCCCACCCCACCCCCCTTCATCCTGCCCCCCTCCTTCACCCCCAAACCCGCCGTGGGCAGCTGAGAACCGGTGTGAAGGCCTGTGGGAGCCAGAGCAGCTCCACACCCGCCCGCCCCCCTCCCCCTCCCGGGCGCCCGCCTGGAGCAGCCGAGGGTGACGGGCAGCTCGGCGGCCTGCGGGCCGGGCTGGGACGGCCCTGCCTCCGGGGCCGGGGCCAGTGGAGGAGGCGCACAAGTCCGGGCAGGGCCCCGGGGCCTCCCTGCCCTTGCTCTCCTGTGCGGACTCCTGTGCCGCCGTGCTAGCTCTTCAGGGAGCAGCTTCTTCCTTCCTCCCTCCGCTCCACACACCTGCTCAGGTGGCCCCTCCTGAGGCCCCTGGCCCCCCCCCACACCCCATCTCACCCCGGCCAGAGGAGGGCTCCCCCACACCCGCTCGAGGCAGAGGACGGTGGGAGGGGGAGACGGGAGAGGAAGAGCAGCTGAGAAACCATGGGCCGGGGGCTGCTCAGACCGTTTGCTGTCGGCGTTACCGTCTACAGGACGTGAGCGTGTGGATCGGGTTCAGTGATAACAGGAGACAAACATCGCAGCTCTGTCCCCAGACAAAGCAGGCAGCCACCCTCCAATAGACACACTTGGTTTATTTGTTTCGTATAAAAGGGTTAAGTGTACAACCAAACTTTTATAAAAAGTTTAGCATGAGTGAGTACATCACTCCACATTGTCTGCAGAAAGGACATCTCTGCCGCCCCCGGCCGACTCCGGGGAGAGAGAGATATAGATAGATAGATAGATATATTTACGTATAAATATACACACAGCGTTGAGTATGCCTGTGTCAAAAAGGCAAATTTCTGACCCAAAGACGTCGCTGCAGTCACTGGAGGCCGGGTCCTCTGGCAGTCCTGCTCGGCCTTTGAGAAAAAAGGCAGCCTGCTGACCAGCCACAGCGCCCTGGGGTGTTAAAGACGAGAGTCCGCTCCCCCTGGCGGGAGAGTGACCGGGAAACCTCCCGACTTCAGAAAGGCCACCACCGTCTTTCTCATAAATAACCGGGCCCACCCCGGGCTGAGCCCCCAGGCTTGGGTCCATGTTTGAAAAGAGGCCCGTTCACCCCGCTGTCCTCCCGGAGAGAGGCCAAAAAGGAGGTTCCTGTGGATCTGCTGTTGTGCAAAGCGGAGGGGAAAGTCCTGGCCACCTGCAAGAGATTGAGAGAATGAGTGAGGCGGAGGGAGGGAGGAGGGAGGGAGAAGGGAGAGGCGGGCGGTGAGCAGGGTGCCGGGGCGGGCGCCAGGAGGAAGCCGCAGTTTGAACATTTACCCAGACCCGGGGATTGGGCAAACCCGGCGCCCAGATGCTCGCACACACCCGGCCGGCCCCACGCGCAAACTAAACAGAAAACAGCAGAGGCCCCGCGGCTCCCGCCCATCTCCTGCCGGGATCTCGGCCGCAGGCGCCTGTCTGCCGCGGGAACAATTATGTGATTGGAAACAGCCTCTCCGCAGATAGGAAGTCCGGGGGCGCGGGGCGGCCGGGGGCCTGGCCGAGCCCACAGGCCCGGTGCTGGAGCAGGAGGATCCCTGCGGAATCCGGACGATAAGGTTCACGGCTCGGAGGTCAGTACCTCGCGGCACGGCCGCCCGGGGGCAGCCAGGGCATTCCAGCCCGGCAGCAGCCTCACACGCTCTGCTCTCCCCGACCACCGCATAGCAAGTCCTTTTATTTTTAGTTTTTTTTTTTTTTTTTTTAAGGAAAGTGCCCTGTGATCCTGAGTCACCGGCACCAGAAGCTCCTGCATGCATCGCAGGGCACACACATGCACATTTTTACAGGCGCACACGCATGACAAAGTACGCCTCGCACACGCATGGACAAAACACTCCGGGAGCCGCGAGCTCACACTCACCGTCCTCAGCCACAGAGCGCCTTGCTGTCGGTGGACGTGAACTCGGCGGGGAACTCGGAGGCCTGGAGAGAAAGGGGGTGAAGGCGGACGTTAGGCAAGCTCGGGAGCCAGGGCCCTCTCCCTCTCCCTCTCCCTCAGTTCCTAGAACAGCGAGTCCCATCCAACACGTTTAGGCTACAATTCAGCTCAAAGACAGGCGTCCGCATGTCAGAGCTCCCCGGCCCTGTCTCCCCGGCCGCATCTCAGCGCGTTTCTACGAAAGTGAAGTTACTGAGCTCGTCCCCTCAGTCCCCGGCTCCAACAGCGGGTCCGCCAGGGCCGCCCAGCCCATCGCCCGGCGGGCAGCGGGCCCCGGGCGGAGCGGGAGGCCCGGGCGGCCTACCTGCAGGGACAGGACGCTGATGTCCGTGTTGAGCGCGGTCAGCGGCGTCCGGGCCGCGCTCGGGCCGGGCCGCGGGCGGTGCAGGCTGGCGACGGCCGGGTGCGCGTCCAGGGCGAGCTGCAGGTCCAGGATGTAGTCGATGACGTGCTGCAGGATTTCCATCTTGCTCACCTTGCGGTCCTGCGGGATGCTGGGCACCAGCTCCTTGAGCTTGGAGTAGCAGTCGTTCATGTTGTAGAGCAGGCTCAGCGGGTCGTCCACCGGCGTCTTGCTGCGGGCGATGCCCAGGCTGTGGTCCGAGAGGCCGCCCTTCCGCACGGACCGCACCGGGCTGAAGGCCTTCATGCTGGCCGGGGGCGGAGGGAGGCCGGGAGGGAGGGAGGGAGGGAGCTGCCCGGAGCTCAGGCCGCCGCCGCCGCCGGCTAAGTGCCCGCGCCGCGGCCGGATCCGCTGAGAATGAAGCGGGGCGCGCGGCGGGGCGGCTTTTATCTGCCTTCGCCGGGTCTCCGCGGTCCCGCGTCCCCATTGGTGGGAAGCGCCACGTCCATCAGGCCGAGCGGGTGCCTCCATTGGCTAATCTGTGCGAGGGGCGGGGCCTCGGCGCTTCCGCGTTTGCGGCCAATGGGTGTGGAGTGGGCGGGGCGGGCGCCAGCTGGGGCGGTAAATAGAGGACAGTGGGCGCCGGGCGGGACGGGGACCCGGGAATCCGAATGTGCATCTGGGTTCTCTCTCCCTCAGCGGCGAGGCCGGACCCGGCCGGGGTGTGCCCGGCCCCCGGAGCCCCCCGCAGCCCCCCGCAGCCCCGGGACCCCCGCGCCCGGGGCCAGCTCCGCCGCGGAGGGAGGGACGCGCTCCCCGCGGTGCGGGACGGCCGTTCGGACGGAAAGCGGGTCGCACAAAGGGAAAACGCACCACGTTTGCCGCGGACAAGGGCCGTTTGTGCAGCGGCTTCCGCTCTCAGATAAGGGACCGCTCTGTGGGGAGAACGAACACCCCGCGGGCACCCAGAGAAAGGCGGCTCCGGCGGGGCCCTGCCCGGGCGGCGGGGGGCTCCGTGCGAGCCCGGCGCAGCGTGGCCCGTGCCTGCGGGTGGGAGGCCGCGGGGGTCTCAGGCCGGAGCTCTGGGAGGCCGGGGCTCCGGGCCTTTCCAGGACCGGGAGGAACCGTCCCGAGGACCCCGCTGATCACCCCGCTGGTCACCCCGCTGATCTCCCCGCTGGTCACCCCGCTGGTCACCCCGCTGATCTCCCCGCTGGTCACCCCGCTGATCTCCCCGCTGATCACCCCGCTGACCACCCCGCTGGTCACCCCGCTGATCACCCCGTTGGTCACCCCCCTGGCCACCCCGCTGATCTCCCCGCTGATCACCCCGCTGGTCACCCCGCTGATCTCCCCGCTGACCTCCCCGCTGACCACCCCGCTGATCACCCCGCTGGTGGGCGTCATTAGGCCGTTCTGCAGGCGGAAGCCTATTCACACACCCCGCCCTGAGGCTGCGGTGTGCGGGCCCTGCGGCGCGGGAAGCCAGCGATGGAGTTAATTATGCGGGAAGAGCGATTTCTAGTGTCCCCTTCCGGCACCTGCGGCGTGTTTAAAGCTCCGGCATCTTCATATGATAATTTTTTTTAAAATGCTGTCCTGGGCGAGGTTTGGGATCTTTCAACACGAGTACCGAATGCAGCCTCAGGGTTTTGTTGTTTTCTGTAAATCCTTAAACTTATCCATGTCATCTGCATCTTTAAACAGTTTGGGGCTCTTGGCTAAACTACTTTTCCGTTAATTCACACATAATTCCAGCCCAGCCAAAGCCCGCAGCACGTCAGTGGTGTGTTCTGGACATCAGACTTCTCCAGAACTCGATCTGCGGGAAAGCCCCGAGCTCATCCTGTGGACGAGAACCGTGTTCACTTTTTTTTCTTGATCTCCACCTTCCTTTGCGTTTAACAAGAGGAAAGGGGGCAGGCCTGGAGGAAAACGCTCCGTAATCAGGAAACTATTTTCTCCGATTAATAATTAATTCCTCGGCTGCCAGGCCGGCCAAGTGCCCGCGCCCGGCCTGCTCCGGAGGGCGGCCCAGTGGGTGGTGCTGAGGTGGGTGCCGCTTGCAGGAAACCCAGGCTTCCTCCTGCGGGAGGCCTGGCTGGTTTCCTGGCTCGGCAGGGACGGAGGGAAAAACAAACCGGCTCCTGCGGGCCCCCACCCCGAGCGACCGAACCCCGAGGCCCGCGACCGAACCCCGAGTCCCGCCCCCCCCCCCAGCCCCAGCCTTTGGGGGGCTCCGTGCACCGTGCCTGTCGCAGTCGCGCTACGGGGAACAGACTCTGTTTTGACACCATCTGGTGCGGGATGTGACACTCGGACTGTTTTACAAGAAGAGCAACGTCAACACACACTGCCGGGCCCTCCATCGCCGCTGTGGGCCCTGGACACGCGGCTCCGGGGGCTCCGGGGGCGGACGCCTTCCCCGCTTTTCCAAGGACGCGGTCTGCCGCCTCCGTGCCGCCGGGGACCCCCACTGGCGATGCATGAGACGGCCTTCTCCGGGCCGGGCTTGCACCCCGATGCGGTAGAATTGGGGGGTTTTCTGGCTGTGGCCTCCTTCGTGGCCGTGCCAGCGTCCAGCCCCCGGGGTGGGTGTGTTAAATCCCACCCGGAGGGCCCGCCACCCGGTTCTACACCCAAAGGTCCCTGTTGGGGGACTGCGGCTGGGCACGCTCCTGGTTTAAAGACACCCCGGTTTCTGGGGGGGCTGCCCCAGCGGAATGAGCTGGAAAACCGCGTTTTCCTGGGGGCGGGGGTCCCGGTGGGTGACCGGGCCGAGCGGCGCGTCCGGGGCGCTGTGCGCGCTGCCCGCGGCCGCGCAGGGTCCCACGGTGCGGCTGCGGGAGCGCCCCGCCCGCGGGTCCGGGCGGGCGGTGTGAGGGCCCCGGTGGGGTGGGGTGCAGACAGCGCCCCCCACGCCCCCACGTAAAGCAGCACGCCGGCCCTGGGAGGCCCCCAACCGGCTGCGGGCCCTCCGCGGCCCGGGGTGTCCGCGCTGATCAGAAGCAGCCGGCGCCGCGGTGCCGGAGGCCGGGGGCGCCCCGGGTCCCCGCACATCTGCCCCCGCCTGTCCGCACAGCTGTGTCCACTCCGCCCTGACCCCGGGCCGCTGACAGCTGATGGATGGCGGCGGGCGCGGGCCGGGCCGCGGCGGGGCCGGAGCGGGGCCGGGCAGACTCGCTGGCGCCGGGCGGTGACGCCGCCCATTCCCGCCGCCCCGAGCCCTGTCCGCGCGGCGCCGCTCCGGCGGCTGCCATGGCGACGGCCCGTCACTCAGCGCGCCCGGCGGTCCCCGGAGCCCCCCCCCCCTGCCCCGGAGCCCAGCCCCCTGCGCGCCCCGCCTCCACCGGCCCCGCCGCCCCGCTCCGGCCCCGCCCCCTGCGCGCCCGCCGCCCCGCTCCGTCCCCGCCCCCTGCGCGCCCGCCGCCCGCACCTGCAGCCCCGCGGCCTGGTGTCCGGCGGTCCGGGGAGGAGGCGGCCCGGGGGCAGGAAAAGGGGGAGAGAAAAAGGGGGGGAGACACCGTCCTTCGGCCGGAGGAGGAGGAGGGGAACGCGGCTGAGCGGCGGCCGCAGCCAGAGACGCCGCTTTGTCTGCTTTCGCGGCCGCGGTCCCCGGGGCGGGCCGGGGGCCGGGGTGACCGCCCGGGCGGCGCGGTGCGTTATGGCCGGGGGTCCTGGGGGCCTGGCGGACACTGGGCTCCTGCAGACACCCCCTCCCCCGCTTCCTCCCGGCGTCCCCGGAGGCCGCGCTAACCACCAGGCTTTCCGGAACCGCACCTTCCCCGCCCGGGAGGCTGCGCCCCACCCGCCGGCCTCGCCCCCGCAGAGCACGGCGTCCTGCCCCGCGGAGCCGCCTCTCCCGCCGGAGGGGAGCAGCGCGGGTCCAGGCAGCGCGCCCCGGGCCCCGCGGCCGGAGCGGGGCGCACGGGCCGGTCCCTCCGGGGAGGGGCGGCCCCCGGGCTGTGTCCTCCGCCGGCCCCGGGGCGGCGCCCCCGCTGCTCCCCGGCGCCCGGCTGTGGTTTTCGAGGACCCGGCGCCGGCCCGGGCCCGGCGGACGCGGCTGTGCCTCCGGGTGTCTGACTCCGGCCGGAGGAGCCGGACCAGCCCGTTTGGACCGAGACCCGCCTGGATGGGGGGGGCCGAACCCCGGGAAGCAGGCGGGGGGGTGTTTGTTTACTGCCCTCGGGGTGTCCCTGAGACCCGCCTGCCCTCCCTGCGTCCGGACCCGCAGCCCCCTCCTCGCCTCAGGGCGGCACCCCTGTCCCCAGCCCGGTTCCGGCCCGGATCCCCGGTGGATCCCGGATGGAGGGGACTGTCCGGCCGCTCAGCCCGGCCCCGGGGTCGGAGGCCTCGGCCCCGCGCGCAGCGGCCAGGGGGGCGGGGGAGGCCCGCGGGCAGACGCTCAGCTCCGGGCGGGGAGGCCCCTGCGGCCTGTGGCCCCCGCAGCCGGTCTCCCGCCTGAGGCCGCGATCGGCAGAAGAGCATCCATCCGCCCCATAACGATAACGGCCGAGAACGGTCCTGCCGCCTCCCAGTCTGCACCCCCGGGCCGGCGGCTGGGCCTGCCCCCGACGGGGCGCCCGGTCCCGGAGGGGGACCCGGGCTGCTGACCCCCCTGCACGCCCCCAGGTCCCCCAGGCTGGCCAAGGCCCCGGGAGGGCCGGCCTGTCGCGATCCTGTAACCGGCCCCAAACAAACCGGGAGGCCCTAACCAGAACCACATGGTGCGTCTGGCCCAAACCGCGTTCGCGCCCGGGCCGTGTGGGTGCGGGAGCCAAACCCATGACCTCAGTGGGGAGGCGCCCTCCGCCCCACAGGCTGCCCTGGGCGCCCCGCTGCCGGCCCACACCCCCATCAGGGGCTGGAGGGGGGTGCTCCGTGGACACGTGTCCTCTCCGGTGGGCGGGGGGAGAGACTTTTGTTTTTAAAATCCTTTGACACCCTCGCCCTCCGGCTGGTGTGGCTCGGTGTTTGGGCCTGCGAACCCGGAGGTCACAGTTCCACTCAGGCCACATGCCCGGTGCGGGCTCAACCCCTGGGGGGGAGGGCGTGCAGGAGGCAGCCCACCCATGAATCTCTCTCATCACGGATGTTTCTGTGTCTCCCTCTCCTTTTCTCTCTGACATCAATAAATGTATATTTTTAAAACAAGTAAATAAAATAGTTGGATACCCTCCACTTTCCCCTACTCCGTTCTTCCAAGCTTTCACTCCCAGATTCTGCCCCCTCTCCCCCCCTCCCCACAGACCCTTACCTTCCCAGTTAGAAGTCCCTGGGGTCCTACAGCCCCAGCCACAAGCCTGTCACATGTGTGTGCAGGGCGGGGGCGGGGGCAGGAACCTAGGGCTGCACCCTTGGGGA